ATAAACATGCGTACACACACACACACACACACACACACACACAAATATATGTATTTATTTGGTTAGAAAATTGCAATATTGTGATTCTCACAGAGACTCTGTGGTGAAAATGAACAGTGAAAATACCTTCAAAACCCAGGCCACTTGGCATGTGGTCACTGTTGCGCTCTATATTGGGACATACAGTATAAAAGGGACTCTATAATGAATGTTTCTCACCAGTCAGTATGAACAGCCACATTGCTGACGGCACAGTATCCCGGATCCTGTTCCTCCCCACACAGGTCAACAGTGAGAGACGCCGCCTTTAACACAACAGACAGACAGACAGGTCAGCATGATGTTTGTGTGCAACTGGACATCAATTATGTCAATACAATTGAAAATCAATTGTATTTCCAATTGATTCTAACAATTGGAAATACTCAACCCACTCTCCCCTATGCAATTATAACTCATTTGAATCTCATGTGATCACTATAACAGCTCCTGTAAAACTCCAGGTTGTGGTAATTTACCGCGTTGAGACTGGCAGTCTCGAAATCAAACTCCAATCTTCATTTGACTGTATTCTACTTCAGCATCTCGCAATAACAATCTCAGAAATCCATATGCATTTTGAAATCAAAGTAAAAACATATTGGAATGTATTTGTACATTAAATTACATAAATAAAATGACCTGTACGTATTTGTCAGGTCTGAGTATTTTGTTGAGCCTACAAAATACTACATGGAAAAAAACGACACCCAGATGCTGGTGAATAAATTACCGCAAGACATTCTACAGTGATCTGTCCTGTCCTCTCGGTGCTTTATGAGTCCCGTGCAGACCTCCTTTTCTGCTCCCTGTACGTAACGCTCTAAGACAAATGGCACAAAGAACGAAAACTCCATCACCGCTAGCAAAACAGGAAGTGTGGGGTTCAGCTGGAGTGCATGCACACTACTGTAAGTCAATAGGTGTAATTCTCTAGCAGCCCCATTTATCTGGGGCCTCCGATGTGAACACACTGCAGTCATTTGTTATGATCAGAATAAAAAAAGAATCGTAATGACTCAGAGCCTGACACAAAACGTCCATTTTGAAAACAATGTCCAAAATCTACAGCCAACACCTGCCCAAACAGAGCTGATTCAAGCTAAGGCTATCACACATGCTTATTCAAAGGCAAACATCACAGACGGATCCATACTTACATACACCAACTTATTTTAAAGTCACTCCAATTGTCATCATTACAGATTTAAAAACTCTGAAATGGCTTGAGCTAGCTAGCTTTACAAATGATCTCTGCATTTAAAAATGAATACAAATAAAAATTCTATGACTTAACCTGTCTTAAAGTGGACCCAACAAAGCCAGATGGTCCTTAAACTCAGAGACCTCTTTAGAGTACAAACAGAGTACAAGCAGTTTAACTACACAGCACAGGTGAAATCTGAAGGTGGTTTACAGCCGTGTCCTTATTAGGGTGAAAATCTGATCATCTACTTTCATTACAGTAAACATGACAAGTTGATCTGCATCACAGCTGATACCTCCCAGTCTGTGACCCTAACAGCAAACTGCCTTTGGCAACGACCACTGTATGCTTGGGTTGCAACACCCCTCCAATTACTTAGAAGCAAATATTTTTCTTGGCCTAAAACGATAACAAACTTGTGTGCAAGCTGCATGTATGTGCCTAGCCTAACATCTGTGGTTGTGTTACTGGTAAAAAGCAAATAGATGACAGACTGTACCTGCAAATCCAGATTTGCACAGGCAGTTAAAGCCACCGGGGTAATTCTGGCATAGTGCCCCATTCTGGCAGGGGTTCGAAAGGCACTCGTTGATGTCCCTCTCACAAGCCATCCCTGTGAAACCTTCTGGACAGGAACAAGAGAATCCGCCCACTAAATTGTGGCAAGTTCCTCCATTGTAGCAAGGTGTTGGCTGGCACTCATCGATGTCAGTCTCGCAGAGGGCACCGGCATAACCTGACCTGCAGTTACAAGCGTATGGCTGTAGGGGGCGATTTGAGACGAGGATGACCGGGACACTCTCCTCCGTCTTCATGTCTGAGCCAACACCCAGCCGCCTCTTGCAGCTCCCCCCATTTTGACACGGATTGTGGGAGCAGGGATCATAGTCCACAGAGTCAGTCTTAACTCCACTTTGTCTGTGCAGAATCTCCTTGATGCTCTGGAAGAAAGTGGCGACTCCACTTGGATTGACGTACTGCCCATGACCACGCTTGACAGCTGCCATCAGGAAAGTGCTGTTGTTTAGTTCAAACACCCCATAGATCTGGACTCCAGTGCCCAAACCAGCTAGCTGTGAATTGGCGATGCGCAGGAAACTGAGGTAGTGATTAGTAAGGAAGTCACTGGCGCTTTGGGAGATGACGCGTATGAGGATGCTGTTGTCCACTGTGGCATTATTGAATCCAATAAAGAAAACACGCACATGGCTGTTGACAGCCTCGTGGACGCCATCGCTGCTACGCACAGATATATCAAAGGTGCCATCTGTGGAGCGACTGTTTGAGCGGAGGTCACAGGTTCCTGTGGGAATGTTGAAGAGGACAGCCGTTGATGGAGTCAGAGAACAGTGGAACGTGTCTTGTATATCTGGATCCTGTGGCTTTACCACCCCCAGTGATCCTCCAGGGAACATATTTCCAAAATAATGCACGTAGATCTCTACGGAGCGAGACTCTGAGGGATTATCATTCTGATCATTGATTTTGATGTGGACAGTTCCTGTTGAGGACATCTGAGGAATACCAGAGTCTTTGATAATCACAGAGAGGTAGAAATCACTTATCTGCTCTCGGTCTATCTCCCGGCTGGTGGTCAGCTCTCCAGTTGGACTGAGGGTGAAGTAGCTGGATGCTGCTCCAGTGCTGACAAGGCTATAGGAGAATGGGCCTTGATTTGGTGCAAGATCTGGATCACTTGAGCTGAGCGTGATCACGGGTGTTCCTGCCCTCTGGTTCTCCATCACTTCCCCACTTGTAGTCTCCAAAGTTGGTCCATTATCGTTAATATCCTCCAGGGTCACAATTAAAATGGCACTGCCGGTGGCAGCTGGAGAACCTGAGTCTACTGCTAGGACGGTGAGGTTGTACACAGGGACAGTTTCCCGGTCCAGTTCTGATGCCACAGACACCTGTCCTGTCTGAGGGTTGATGGTGAAGGTACTTTTTTCATAGTTGGCAGTGATGGCATAGGTGAATCTGCTCCAGCTAGGGACAGAATCCGAATCCTCAGCACTGACGAATGTAACCAGGCCTCCAGGGGATAGTCCCTCATTCACCTGAACATCATAGAGCTCCTGGGTGAATACAGGAGGATCATTGGCATCAAGAATCGTAATGTTCACAAGCACCTCATCAATATCTGCCCCTCTTATGCTTCCTTCATTCTTAGCTAGGACTTTGAGAGAAATCTCTTCTTCTTTTTCACGATCAAGCGGTCCTGCGACGTAGATCTGGCCTGTCTTTTTATTAATGCTAAAACCTTTTTTTCTGCTTCTGCCAAAAATCAAGTAATACACTATGCCATCTTCTCCCAAGTCTCTGTCACTAGCAAACACCTCTCCAACGACTGTGCCATTAGATGCTGCCTCTGACACCTCAAAGTAGTACTGCTTTGACACAAAACGAGGGACGTATTCATTAGCACCTCTCAGCTGAATGTTAACATATGCGAAGCTGCATCGTTCTTCATCTGGAACATTAAAGGCTTTGACGGTAAGGTGATACACCTGTTTAGCTTCATAGTCTAGGAAACCTTGTGTGGTGATTATTCCTGTGTTGGGATCAATTATGAACAAGTCACTGTCTGATGACTGAATCACATACGCCATCAGGGCATTTGGCCCAGAGTCTTTATCAGTTGCATTCATTTTTACCACAGTAGTGCCACTGGGGACATTTTCCTGCACGACTGGGAAGTACTCCACAGGGTCGAACACAGGAGGGTTATCATTTACATCAGTAACTAGGACATTAACTGTAACATAGCTTGTTTTGGCAATCCACCCACCATCTGTTGCAGAAACTCTGAGTTCACGCTTCTGTTTTGTTTCGTAATCCAGTGGCTTTGCCAGAGATAAAACGCCCGTTTGACTGTTAATTGAAAACAAGCCATCGTCATTACCTGAGGAGATGTTGTACGTAACTAGGCCATTCATTTGTTTGTCCTTGTCCTTATCTCGTGCTGAAAGTGTGCGGATGGCTGTGCCGACAGTCAGACCTTCAGACACAGTAACTGTTACTTGGTTCTGTGAAAACTCTGGAGTATGATGGTTCTCTTCTGTAACAGCTACTTTGACTGTTGTCTTAGCGGACAGAGGAGGGTTCCCTTTGTCACTTGCTGTTATTTCAATCAGGTAAACTTTATTTGTGTCTGCGGTGAGCGAGGATGCTACTGTGACCGATCCAGTTTGTTTATCCAAGCGGAACTTGCTGGAACTGTTTCCTCCAGATACTGCATACTCTATTTCAGAGTTCAGGCCAAAGTCCTTGTGATCATGGGCTGTGACTTTGAGGAGTCTGGTGCCGACCTTTACACTTTTAGTGACAGGAGTAAAGTAAAAAGAAGATTCAAATGTGGGTGGGTTATCATTGCTGTCAACTACATTTATGATAACTGTGGTTTCGCTCATGAGCGGCTTGATGCCTCGGTCTGAAGCGGTGACGATGAAACTATGACGGTTTACATTGATGTTATTGTGGCCACTGGAGTTTTGATACCTGAGCTGCTGTTTAATGAAGATCTCACCAGAACTGGAGTTGATTCGGAAGTGCTCTGTTTGCGATCTGATAAAGTAAAATATTTTACCATTGAAACCCTCGTCAGGATCTGTGGCAGAGACTTGAGTCACAATGGATCCGACCTCTGTCAGCTCAGGATAGTCCAGGTAATATGACGGCTTGCTAAATTTTGGAGCATTATCATTCACATCTGTCACAAATATTGTGACATCTGTGCTAACAGTCCATCCTGAATCGTGTGCTGAGACTTTGGCAATATAGTGGTCCGTGTCCTCTCTGTTCAGAGGCCTACTGATGGTGATGTCTCCTGTGCTGGGGTGGATAATGAAGGGAAGACTTGCATCACTGATGGAGTATCGGCTTATAGCGTTAGCTCCTGCATCTTCATCGATGGTGGTTACTCGGGTAACAGTGAAGCCCACTGGTGCATTTTCAGGTACAGTGGCACTAAAGATTTTGGAGAATCTGGGAGCATTATCATTAACATCCAGCACACTGATCAAGACTTTGACTGCTGTGCTTTTAGGAGGACTGCCTCTATCCGTTGCCTTCACTCTCAAAGAATACTGAGCGACCTTCTCTCGATCCAGTGGTCGTGTTGTGCGGATTTCACCAGTTGCTCGGTTGATGCTGAAGCTGTTTTCTTGGTTGCCTTCAATGATGGCATATTCCAGTTGCCCATTTGGTCCACTGTCCTGGTCGAACGCAGATACAATCAGCACACGTTGAGGTGAGAGGTTTTCTAAAATCTCAGCGTGAAACGGTTCTTGTTCAAAAGTAGGATGGTTGTCGTTAACGTCCAGAACTGCAATCTCTACTTTTTCATAGGCTGAATAAGGAGGAAAGCCTTGGTCTCTGGCCTCTATCCACAAGACGTACTTCTCAATATTCTCATAGTCCAGAGGCTTTTTGATAGACAGCTCTCCTGAAAGTTGATCTATGTGGAATGCATTGTCCAGGTTTCCGCTTGCAATGTAGTACGACAAAGGACCTGCCCTGGGTGAAGATCCGGTCACCTTAGTCACAACAGTGTTTGTGGGTTGGTTTTCTGGGAAGGTGAAGGCTTTCTCCTTGATTCTAATATGGGGGAAGTCTCCTCCAGTAACGAAGCGAACCGTAACAGTTGTGCTGTCTGTTTTGGGGTTGGTGCCTCCATCTTTTACGTGGACCGTGAAGGTGACCTCTGAACTCCCTGTGAGTTTTTCATTGGCAGTGATGGCACCTCTGATAGGGTCTATCTTGAACTTTTCTGAATTGCGTCCAGTGAGCGAATAGTGAAGTTGAGCATTTGAGCCGGAGTCTTCATCTGTTACTGTGACCGCAAAGACCAGTGAACCTGCAAAAAAACAGAACAGAAGTGATTAGATGCTGATCCGACAGACAACAACCCGATGAAACCATTAACCCCTGCCACAGAAGATGCACCTGTGGAAGTAGAAGCAGGTATGTGCGTAACATATGGATGATGGTGAAACCGTGGAGGGTTATCGTTGATGTCGGCCACAACCACAGACACTGTGGCAGAGCTGGAGAGTGGAGTGGGCTGTCCACCGTCCGTTGCCACCACCAGCAGCTGGTAACTCGCCCGTGCCTCTCGATCCAGCAAGGAGCTGGTGATGATCAGGCCTGTGGATGGGTTGATGGAGAACTGACCGTCCCCACCACTGAGACTGTAACTGTAAATCACAAACACAACAGATTCAGTTTATGCGTGGAGACCAAACAATGATATTTGTCAACCCCTCACACAGTGCCCTTGGAATCAAACCCATGACTTTGGCATCGCTAGCTCCATGTTCAACCATTTGAGCTACAGGAAAGCTGCATGTTTCGGTCTGTACAGTGTCAGCACCTGCGCTGACACACATTGTGACACATTCCTCATAAGCAAGAATTCGGAACTTTGTTCGCCAAGTATCTTATCATACGGGCGGCAGGAAGATTCATTCTTTATTCATCTTTCAGATTCTTTCATAATTCCCGCAGCATGTTTTCTCAGCTGTGAATCAGCCCTGATCAAAAACACCCCATTCGAGCCGTTCCCATGCTGCTTTGAGTTTCAGTGAGGTTCACTTTCGGGGCCCGTGACACAAACTCGTTCTGACAGTAACATGCACACATGGCAACTTCACTGTGCACTTGTGTCAGTGAGACGGGAATTCAACAAATTACAGAACAAAGTGTGAAAAACAACCCTAGCGAGATGACAACATCACTGTCCACAGTCACGCATCGTCCGCCTCACGCCAGTTCATGATCGGTGAGAATTATGATGTCGTGCTGATGCATGAAGCTGGTTCTGTGAATTAACAACTGAAGCCCCTCACTGTCCCGCTGCCCCCCACTGGGCTCTGATCTGTCTGCCATACTTCATTATCATCCTCATTAGCATGTTTTTGAGAAAGTGGAACATGTTGCCCCCACATGAGCTCATGCAGGGGCACTTTAGAGATACATGACTAATAGGTAGTGCTGTGTGTTTGTGCATCACTAAACATTTGATGACAAAATTGCTAACATTTTTTTTTTATAGAATTTTGGCTTCAATCTATAGTATTTTGTTTGTGTGTCGTACCTGATCACTCCATTGAGTCCCATGTCTGAATCTAAGCTGTTGAGCAACAGGACATCTGTTCCAGTGGGCGCATCTTCAGGAATGGTCGTGTGGAAAGACATTGAGCTGAATGATGGAATATTATCATTCACATCACCAACCAGCACCATCACAGTACCAGAACTGCTTAAAGATGGCGTTCCTACAAACACAGGAGAAAAACAAGTTCATCTATTTATGAGTTTGAAGCAGTATATGACTTAATTCCAGGGTCCAAAATTAACACTCGCCAAGTGCCAACTGTGAAAAATTGGCTTTGGCAAGTAAATAATACAACATTACGCACCAGTTGGCTGATAGCTTTGTTAGAATCTGCAACATATCATATGGAGTAAGAATGATAGTCATAGATACTGATACATAGATACTGACACTCAAAGTAAACAAATGAGTGATTTAAATCAATGATACACAAACGTCTCCTAAAGAAAATTTCTGTCAAGACTCACACGTCCTTACCTTAGAGAAATATTTACCATCAGAATTTTCTCCAATTCTTTAAACACCCACTCATGAGGAATATACCTCATATTAAGCCACAAAAATGTAAAAAAAAAATATTAGGAACAAATTCATGATTTTTGCTTTAGATGCAGTTTTATTTAGTCGACTTAAATATGAAAATGACATTATGACCTGCGCTGATTATGGGTTAATTAACTAAAATGTAAATTATTATTAGGAACAAATTCATGATTTTTGCTTTAGATGCAGTTTTATTTAGTCGACTTAAATATGAAAATGACATGATGACCTGCGCTGATTATGGGTTAATTAACTAAAATGTAAATTATTAAAAAACTATTTTGTTACTATAAATAAAATAAGCATGAACTGAAATAAAATAAAATAAAACAAAAAAATATTTGATTTCAGCTAGTTGCCAAGGCAGCATTTCTCATTATAAAAACTACTAAAATTATATAGACATATTTAAAATATTAAATAAAAAATGACCAAAACAAAACTTTAACCAAAATCAAGACTGAAATTTAAACCATAACATTTGAAACTGAAAATATAAAAATAAAAACTAATTCAAAATATGAATAAAAACTTAATAGTATCTCAATGATACTAAAATAACAGAAAACAGAGGAACATGCATGAGAAAATAAAGGCTAACCTAAAAATAAGTCTTTAGAAAATATCTAAATAAATGAACTGTATTTTATGAATTAAAATACAGTTTGATGACTGATAAGAATCACTGGCCTCTGGCAGGTGTGACAAGTTGAGTTTGGACCCTCTTAACTCATTAAACACAGATGGTTTGATATTCTAGCAGCACAGATTAAATTCTCAATCCGAAACATCTCTACTGAAATCCGGAGCTGGAGTCTGTGCCATCTGTCTGCACTTCTGTCCAGCGCTAATCTCTGACTCACCGTGTCTCACACACTCAGGAATGTTTAAATATATATCGGGATCGTTGCAGGGGGCAGCACGGTTTACAGATGTAATCCTGCTGTTTAAAACAGTGAGGCACATGGCAGAAAGAATGCTATTTTCAGCGAAAATCAAGCCGCAGTGATGAGAAGCGGCCCGATGGGTCTGAGGGGAGCGTGCTAAACGAATAGCAGATGACAAGAAGCACAGAGAGGTAAAGTGATTCAAACATCTGCCCCCTCTCGCAGCGAATGAATGTGATTAAAATGAATGTTCTCCATGCATAAATTCAGCCTCTGATAACATTGTGCGCTTCTACAGCATGGCAGAAAATCCTGCTCGTAAAAACAAAAGGCAGAGAGAAGAAAAATGTCTGCAGATTTTCCCTGCAAGCAATCTGAGGCGTTTTTCAGAGCGTGAAGGCCTCCAGTAGATTAGTGTAACTAATAACACATGCTAATAAGCTGTTAGCACACGCTTTAATTGCCTCATCCTCACTGCGAAGACAAAGAGATTAGCATGGTGTCAGATTAGCATTTATCTGATGAGCACAAGGAAACGTGTGTGTGTCTGTGTGTTTGTGTGTGTGTCTCATTCAGACCTGAAACACTGTGACACGTGTCTGATGAGAGGATCCTGAGAGAGCGTCTGCTGTCTCACACAGTTTAAGACCAAAACAATCCTGTTTAATGTTGCACATTTTATCTAAATGGAGACATTGCACAGACTTCTATTGTTATATTCTATACTCTGTATATTTTATATACAGTTATAAGTACTGTAACCAAATCCTAATAGAAAACTTCCTGCATTTTTACAATTAAAAAAAAATATATAAAAAAAATACAAATGTATTATAAAATTAAATGTTTGTTTGTTTGTTTGCCATGTTAATTTGCCTAAGCATTGCATCTACAGTTACATTTATGCATTTAATAGATGCTTTTATCCAAGGTGACTTAAAAAAGAGGAACAAAAGCATTAATATTAGTAAATGATGAAATTAACATTAACTTTAGAAGTATTTTTCATTGTTAGTTCATGTAACTCAGGTCCATTAATTAATATTAACAGATACAACTTTTGATTTTAAAAATGCATTAGTAATAAGATTAATAATAAGATTAGTAATAAGATTAGTAAATGCTATTTAATAATACTTAAAGTTAACTAGTATCAAGAATAAAGTGTTATTGTAAAATGTAAAAAATTCATAACCATGAGCTCATTAACATAATTGCCTTAATTTGCATAAAAAAAGCCTATTCAGCATTCAGAAACTTGAGCTGCTTTAATGAATGATGATGTGCTACTAAATTACACCTTTTTTGGTGCAAGAAACCTTGACAAACATTACAAAATGAAGAACATTTACACTTTAATAACTTAAGTTTTTAACGTGACACACATTCTTAAAAATGTCACACTCTTGCGCAAGACGATGGAAAAACCAGTGAGACAGCAGCCAAACCTCTTTATTGATTACTCATATTGATTGAGTGTGTTTTGAAGAATCAGCAGAGTGACGCAGCCGCTGACGCACACACACACAAACACACACACACACACACACACACACACACACA